TTGAGATAACTGCATATTGTAACTATAATAGCTGTAATATACCGAACGAGTTGGTGGTGACACTGCGGGCGGAAGATCTGCGTCACGTCCATAGCCGGAGATTGGCGAATCTCGGAGCTACGGCAAGCTTTTAGCAGTCGACCCTAGGATTTATATCCGGTAAGTGTACTTGACGATGAGGCATTTTGGTTTCGCAATGATGAGAGATTCTGGTAGTAACCAGCTTGTCGATAAAGGGCGTCTTGTTGGGACGAAGGCATAAGCGGCGGGCGGCACGGTTCGGGGCGCTTGATATGCAGTATAGGATCTCACTGCGTTGTTGGTGTAGGGTGATGAGTGGCAACGATTTGAAGGTCACGTCAGGCAGTTGTTGGTGGGTGGACGCTATGAGAATAGGGCAAGGACGAAGGGAGAGGTCGCGTCGCGTCCACGGGTGCGACACGAAACGGAAGCCGCGCTAGGCCCGAACCGCACCGCCCAGCAAGACAGGCGACTACAGATTCTATTGAATTGGCGCAACATTTGAACGCGTTGATTCCATTGGGTTGCCTACTACATGTCTAACCACCCATGAACCTTTTTGGCTGGCACAAGCTATGGCTTCACCTCTACATGGCTTTAGACGGAAGTTCTGAGTCGGCCTTTGCAAGCTTGTCACTATTCCTCTTGCCTTGCGCATCTTTATCGTTCTTGCCTTCCTCCTCGCTACTGTTCTTGCCTTGCTCATGACCCACCTTCTTGCCTTGTTCTAAGCCTGCAGCATAACCTCGGTCATAGCCTTCCCTGCGACCTTCTTCTCTAGCAGCTATCTCTGCCGCCTGAATAAGAGGCTGGCGATATTCCTCCTCTATCTGAACAAGCTTATCGATGGCCTTTTGAATGATGTATTTCGACGAGGTAATGAGGCCAGCTGCGAGCTCGTCCACCTTTTCATCGAACTTCTTCCGAGCTATCGCTCGAGGATCAGGTGTTATATTAGGCGCTTCCGGTGAAGCTGTAGTAGCATCGGGTGCGGCTGAATAGGGGTCCTGTTTGATCTCATGGAGGTTCGGCATTGTGCCCTGGTACTCTTCAAGTGTCTTTGCATCTTTACACTCTTCGCGAGTGCTTTCCGTCGTAAGATTGTTTTCTCCACTCATGTCTTCTCCAATTGTGTCCTCCTTGACTGCGCGTGGGGATTCGGCTGTATGGTCCGTCGCAGACGTTCGATCACGATAAGATGGCGGATCGGCCAGCTTTGCTGACGGTAATGATGCGGAACCGGTTGATAGATTCCGTGAGCGCTTACGGTTTGCGGGAGGGCTAGTCATCTGGAGCAGTGGACTTGCTAGGGTGAATAACTTTAATTGAGTCTTGTCTTGTCTTGAGATTGGTGGCTGATGTGTCTGGGGATGTACGTGTTCATATAGTCGCTGATGTGTTTGTTAGGAAGTAACTAGCCTTTTGTGGAATGTTTGTCTCGGACGCTTCGAGCGTTTGTCGCTTTGTCAGACTATGCATTGCCTCTCCATAGGGATCAGAGAAGGAACTACTATGCACTTCTCGAGCACTCCAAATCTAGGAAGTCTGCGTGCAATCAGTCGATGCACGGAATCATAGCATGTTACTTACTGCGACATCCAAATTTCCCATACGTAGCTCTGTGGATGGTTCGTCACACTGCCAGCCGTTCATCACATGCAACAGCCCGTTTTGTGTTTGAGATAGTCCAGTCCTCGTGGGTATACCGCTGGAGCCAGAATCGATTGATATCATCTATGCCACACTATGCATCCTCCTACAAATACCATTACTCCTACCGACCCATGCTGTTGATCATCTCCCTCTGTGTTGCCCGGTCCCGGTTCGTCTGGCTGAGTGATGGGATGCTCCTCAGGTCACCCACAACGTCCTTTGCCTTTCCAAAGTACACCTCCTGCAGCAGATTGCGCATCTTGAGCTCCATATCCTCGACCATCTTTCCAATGTTGGCGACGTGCGAGGTGTCATCCTCGACGGCCATGTCGGCTTCCACTTGGCGCACCATATTACCGGAGAGGTCAAGACCGCCGAGCGCTTCGCTGTCGGTACCGAGGGAGAGGATGACGGTGGATGTGAGCTTGTAGTGCGAGGTGCGGGCGCGGTCTTGGGCGTCGAAGACGTGGATGCTGTCCCAGCTGCCGGAGCTCTTGGGCGTGGGGTTGACGGCTGCGTGCATTAGCATGTGATGGATGCGTAGACCCGAGACTGCGTACCCTTCTTCAGCAGGACACAGCCTGCAAAGCCGTCGTCCATGTCCCACAGGTACACGCTCGATATGCCGCCCTCGAAGTACCTGTCTATATCAGCCAAGCTCTCCAAGCTGCCCCTTCCCCTGTGTGCACTCACAGCTCCCGGTACACGTCAAAAGCCTCGTTCGCCTTGACCTCCATCTTACGGACACGATCGCTAGGCGTGACACCTTCCTCAATGGGCGGCTCGAACTCGTTGCTCCATGGGCTCCTCCAGCTGTCCCCGTCGCGGTTATAGTCGCAGCACAGGAAGTCGCGCTTTGTCTTGGAGCATTTCTTGACCGTCAGCGGTATGTCGACGGACTCGAGCAGGTCCTCTTCCAGCGAGGGGTTGAGCTGGATAATGTGGTCGACATTGCGCTTGACGTCCTTGGGGTTCAGTCGGCGCAGGAGGTCGCTGTCACGGCTTGTTAGCTATCGCCGTGGGAAAGGCGGGGTCGGGGAAGCCTCACAGGGCGCTGTCAATGGGGTCCGCCATGATTCTGATGCGGGTCTTGGGCGTGTATCGCTCGGGCGTGATCAAGGTCGGGTTGCTTGAGTATCGCTTGGGTCCTAGCCCCGTCCCCTCAATCTCCAGCGGCTCCTCTGTCGGCGATTCGCTGGCCGGCCCACACGAGTCAGGCGAGTACAAGCGTTGGTACCCCATCCCCGCGACGCGTCAATTCACGCAACAACACCTCAACTCTCTTTTCCGTTGTCGTCGGTTATCGTGTTGTCTGGGTTGTTGTTCATTGCGAGAAGGCTGTTTGTCCTCCTGTCGCAAGGCTCATGGCAGCAGCGGCCTGTTGCTCTCTCTTTCACTCAACAATCGCGACTTCCGTCGACTAGAGGGAACAAGTTCCATTCTCATACAAACATCTCGTCAGCGCTCTCCATGACTTTCTATTCAATCCTACTAGGTGTCACATTTCGTTGGATGAGCTTTTCCGTTGTGACGTCATAATAAAGTCCCTTCGAGCATGCAGGCAGTCTTTTCCATTGAGTGTCACTTTTGCTCTTGGAGTTGCAACCAAGAAAGAGCTATCTGCAGACAAACCATACAAGAGATATGAGGCGTGTATGCGGACTGGCTCCTGAATCGTCGAATCCTACACAATAGCGCAAAGGGCAATTCTGATGTGTGTGGCTCACCTTCACTTCGTCTCGTAGTGGCGCACGTGTCCGTGTCCGATGGCAGGCGACCAATGGCGCGTGCTCAATCCAGGATATCAGATCATGAAATTGGAGGTGAGGGCCGCATTTGGCTTATCTGTGTGTCTCTGTCTTCCGCGCTCACCTTCATTGCGCTAATCCCCCGCGTTCATAGTCTGCATCCGTGAGGTCTTTCTCCTGCATTCTCCTCACAACTTGAACACCAACACACTGCAACCAACACTCAAGCACACCCCGAAGACCCAAAATGTCCGACAACGATAACACCGCCGTCGCCAATGGCTCTTCTCCTCAGTTCACCGAGCGCGAGCTCCAGCTCCTCGGATGGGCCATGCAGTCCCTCAAGTCCGGTCCTCCAGAGGTAGGTCACCACTCCCTTTCTATTCCTATCACACTACTCACACCCGCTATAGATTGACTACGAGAAGCTCGCCGCCTACGCCGGTATGGGCAACCCGCGCTCCGCTAGCAACGCCTGGGCCAAGATCAAGCTCAAGTTGATGACACCCTCTCCCGACGGCGCCGTACCGGCTACTCCCAAGAAGACTCCTCGCAAGAAGGCTGCTGCCGCCAAGCAGGAGGACGGCGAAGAGGGTACCGACGCGACCCCTAAGAAGACCCCTCGCAAGCGTGTCGCCAAGAAGCAGGATGTCGACGGCGAGTCCTCCCCTAAGAAGAAGGCTGCTCCCCGTGGCAAGAAGAACGAGAGTAAGCACACCCTGGAGCCTACTTGGACGATGGGTCACCTACATTGCAAGCTTCCAGCTTGATGTAGGCTGTAGACCTGTTCATATCTATTCATGTGTACCCAGTTCAATGCTAACGTACCGCAGCTGTCAAGGCGGAGTCCGACGAGGACGCTGACATCGGAGGCTCTCCCATGAAGATCGATCCCGCCAAGGAGGAGATCGTGGAGGATGAAGTCTAGAGCGTTTCCGCGACCCTGACGTAGATCAACAACGCTCTACGAACTGGTCGGCTTTTCGTTTGCTCTTTTCTGACTCTGGCTGTCAAATGGCAATGCGCACCATCTTTCTCTACTGGCGGAGCGCACATGGATGAAAAAGCTGGCCTGCAAGGGTTTGTACATAAAAGTCCAGCACGGCGTTTGGAGTACCACGACACTAAGAATGGTTTCCCGAAAAGGTAGCGGCGGAGTTGGATTGTTTCCAAGATAGCGATCGCAGCTGCACATCGCGCATCTCCAATGCACATCTTTCATCATATCTACCACTTGCATTTCGACATGAATAGGTAACATGACTACTACTTGCCTGTTTCCGGTACGCATTAAACCCTGTAGGTGTGGCAACGCACACGTATCGCAGCACCAGGGTGCTGTAGCCGGATATTACCCCGGACTCTTGGTCATGCACAGCTCATATGCATATAGCACGTACAGATCATCACTCTAGAAGACCTTTCGCGATGCGCATGCCACCAAACAGTATTGCGGTCCGTACGCATCAAACTCCGCACACAGTCGCCAGATGTTCATCAACACTGCTGCCTGCATAATGCAATAGCCGTCGCACTCAATACCACCAGCTTCTCCGAGCCATAATCGAATATCTAGTCATGGCGCGACAGACTCGCGACCACAAGCAAGGCATAGACGCAGCGACGTTATCGCCTGTGAAAGGGAAGTCGGAGCTCGTAAGGAATACCTACACTTTCTACACAGAGACGGCTAACATACATTGCAGGCGAGCGCTCATAGCACAAGCTGCTTACTGCTGCTGCTGTTCATTCCTCTCGCTTCCATTAGCATCTTCTATACGAGTGCTCAGCAGGTGCTCCTGCCTGTACTACACGCGTACTTGCCCAAACAGCTCCAATCGTACCTGCTTTTATCGGCACGGGAAGCCACTCCTTACTCACAAGAGCCGCTAAGTCTAAAGAGCCTGGTCAAAGCATGTGCAGACCACCAGTACACAACTGAAATCATATCTCTCGATCCCCTCTTGATCTACATCAACAACTTCACCTCAGCGCGAGAGGCAGAGCAGCTTATCAGCCTCGGGTATGCCTACTCGTCTCTATCCTGTATAGGCTCTGAGTCACGGTCACAACAGTCACTGACCCTCTCGTAGCTCTTCTGGATTCGCCGAATCCTTCATCAGCCGCTCACGAGGCAACACGCAGCGTGTAACAGGGCGAACTTCTCAATCCGCGCCGCTCCCAGTGGGAGATCCGCTGGTCGAATGCCTTCTCAATCGCGCACGAACGTTCATGGGCTCCATGCTACTCTCCTCCGAGCCCTTTAGTATTCCGCAACTGGTGCGCTACTTCCCTGGCCAGAAGTACAACCTGCATACGGACTTTTGGCCTGAGCACCAAATCACCACTCTCGAAAATGGAAGGCGGGTTTACTACAACCGCGTCGCGTCCTTCTTCGTCTTTCTGCGTGATAATTGCACGGATGGGTATACGGCTTTCCCTCTAGTCGAGCCTTCTTCGTCTACCGATTTAGAAGGTCTCTATAGCGGCAAAGTAGCTCACGGAGAGATGGATGGAGAAGCTAAAGGCATCAAATTCAAACCAATCCAAGGGAATGCAGTGTTCTGGGTTAATCTGGACAAGCATGGCAAGGGCGATAGGAGAGTGGTGCATGCTGGGTTGCCGGTAGGCGAAGGTGAGAAGATTGGGCTGAATATCTGGCCTAGAAAATACTTTGGGTACTTAGACGGTGATGGTGGGGATGAGGCAGAGACGGCGCAGGCGGCACGGCAGGGATGGAGCGGGAAATGGAAGGACTAGGTAAAGACCATGCTACCAACTTTCCGGGTCGTCGAAAACGAACCAAAATATCGCATTTAGCGCATATTTACCCATTGAAACAATCTATAGCATTTCAAAACCTTAATCTTCCAATTACCCTTCCAAGGCCGATGCGCAAGGCCATCCCCATGTATACGAAACAATGACGCGCGTTTCAGGCCATGGCAGATAAAGTGACGCTCAGCATCCGCACATTAACTAAGACAGGGCGACGCCGCATCCAAGAAACCCGGTGGCTGCCGTGTAACACCAGGGCAGTCATGTAAATTGCGGCGCATCGGTCCTGGGACAGCGGCCACTCATACACCTCAGCTCACAAAGACCTCACCATAACTCGGTATATACACCCACCAACACTCCGCATTTCATAACCGACGGCCTCATACTGCCGTCTTCAAGATATCTACGTATTTCAAAATGCCACAAATCATCATCACCTACCCGGCCCTGCACCTACCACACTCGAGCCCCGCGCCCTCCTTCCCTGACTACCCCACACTCCACAAATGTCCAATGTACATTGCTCAGCTCATCGACCCCATGATCCGTTCCTGGAATCTAGGACCTGGGTTCTGTACGCGCGACAACCTTTTCGGTGTCAGCTATTTAATCGTACTGGGCGTGAATTACATCCTCGCTATGATGGCTTTCTTTATGGTTGTCGCTGTGCTGAGAAAAGTGGTGTGCTGTAGGTGTAGGGGAAGGGACGAGAAGAGGAGAGAAGATATGGGCGGAGATACGAGGGGTTTGGACAGAGCGGAACGGGGAGAGGGGGGCTGGATGGGCAAGGTATGTTGGTGTGATGTCACGAGGCTTAGTTGGATGTATGCTGATGACTTCTGTAGCAGATCAAAGCCTTCCAACCGATGTTGAGTCCGGTCAGGGAGAAGGAGAAGATTTGATGCTGAGGGAGTACAAAAGCGGGAAGCATCTCGTATATGGTACAAGAAATCGCGAATTGGATCCTTGATCTCGACACTCCAGCACCTGGTACGACCAGTTCCACGCGAAAGCTTTGGGAAATCTGTAAACCAGAGGCAAATTTGATGCCACTGTCGCCGATGTCGCCAAATGCTGAGCGGACTTGTAGTGCATTGCGGGCCAAAAGCCGCCGTAGACATGGCCATGTCTTTATATCGGAGTCGCGCGACGGCTATGACCATCATGTGAGCGGATTCGCTAGGGGAGTTCCTCGCATTGGGCGCTTACAGGTTTCGAGGAGACAAATTCCTGGTGTTGAAGTTACTCCCTGTTTGCTGGATGGGTCATGTGCAGTACATTGGGACGGAGGTGTCGAGAAGACTAAGGATTGAGTATGCAGAAACGGTTCCATAAGTACGTTAACCTACCTTCTAGTATTTTGTCTAGGCATAGTACCTTATAAAGACTACAATAAAGGTTTAAAGTCTGTAGCTGAGTAAGAAAATATATCTTAAGATATACATAGCCTTTTCTACAGAGTATCGCGCAGGCCTACTATTAATGTCTGCGGCAAGAGTCTTGTTACATGTGCTATATCTCTAACTCTAAAGTGATTCAACTTTACCTGGCAGACACATCGCATTGAGAATACCGTTATAGCTTCCTATGTTCCCGCCTTGCTCCTACCTGAATGTGGCATTTGAGCATCAAGGTTTGACCCATGGTTCGATCAACAGCTTAATCCTGGCAGCAGTACGTATCCATGTTGTCTGCCCGAGAGCGAGAATGCCACCTTCGTCCTTACTTTTACTAGCAAACTATGGGAACTACAACATATCTTGTCTATTCAAAGCAACCGACCAACAAACGACTTGCCTACTACAACAATATATCACCCGCTCAATCGGCATTGCATCTGGTGGCTTGCCACCTACAATCACCTTTCTAGGACTTTTCCCGCCAAACCTCCAACCAGTTTGCCGGCTACAACCTCTTCTCCCCCGATTTCTTCTGTCACTCCTGCCGGTTGTATACGCCTCGAGGACTCGTAGAGTGAAAGAAAGAAGGAGATGGGATGAGAAGCGGCTGCCTCGCGCGGCGGACGCGTCGAGAGCCGATTGCGCAAGGTTTTCACTTTCACTCCATCACGGCTGTCGCGCGCGCAGAATTTTCCCAACTCACCGATAAGCTCTCCTCTTTTGTATCCTCACTCTCACGCAGCCCGATCACACCATCTTCTCAACCATGCCGGCACTTCCAGCATCCACTCACGTACCGCTGGCGCCTCTCAACCTTCCTGACTGGCCTCTCTTCTTGATCATCGTCGGCGTCCTCATCATTCTGCTCTTCCAGATCATCCTCGTCATCGCCTTTCTCCGTTGGTCCAACGTACACAGCAAAGCGCGGTGGAGGCGCCTTCGACAACGCGGCGCTGTCATTCTCGACGGACCGGCGCTCATCTGGACGAACCCGATACCACCTGGACCAACAGTCTCGACCTTCAACTTACGGCAGACGCTTCGGACGTCAGACGATCAAGTGACTCAGTAGGGCACTGTTGCTACGACAAGGTCCAGATACGACACCTTCTCAACCGGCGCGGCGCCATCCTCTGTACAACTACCACAAGTCAGCATTCAGAGCAACCGACAGCAAACAGCCATGAGTCTCTTTGAACCCAAATCTTCGCCTGTCACAGAAGTCGCGAAACAGCAGGCAACCACCTCCGCCACCATCATCATCTTCATCGTCATCTCCGCGATCGGTTCATCGGCCGTGGTAGGGTTCGTCCTGTTCGTGGCATGGTACAGAGTAAAGAAGAAAAGGGAACAAAACCAGGCGGCTGCCGAGCTGGTGGAGCTTTCTGTCATTGAAGCCGTTCTACAGGCATCTCCGGCGCGACAACATTAAGAGGTTGGAGCGGCGCACTGAGACACGTTGTCATATGCAGATGACATGAATCCGGCGTTGGGGCTGATGAAGATACAAAGAATGTGATAGACAAAAAGGGAAGAGAGGAAGCTGGATGGTCGGACTGTACCTGCTTCTCTTACGAGCTGATCTTCCAAGATCGAGTATAGCAACCTAAGAAATGATACTGTAACTTGAAAGCTCTACCTCCCTTCTAACGCCAATGAGATCTTGAGCCCAAGGTAATCAAACGCGTCCCGTCGCATGAGTCGCGTAGTCTGGAAGCCGTGTCACTATACCAAGATTGCAGTAGCGGCCCCTCCTTTCTGGTAAGCTCGTGACAACGCGATAGCGGTCAAACGTTGATACAAGCAGTAGCGCGTTCCGCGTGGCGAAGCTCGTGGGATCAGAATGAGGAAAGCGTAAGCCGTTGCGGGAAGTCAGTGCGGGGGTTCCCCTCACGGCGCTGCCTTTCTCGTACATTTAACACTCCTTCCTCATCTCCTCTTTTCTTCTACACCTTAATCTCACTCAGCTTCCACTCAATCCGCCGATTATCTGAATACCCACATCAGTCAGTCAACTACCATGTCATCTCAGAACACATCCAACGCCTCCGGCTCCGGCTCGACTTCCTCTGGCAATACCGGCAGCGGAGGCTACACCACAACCAGCTCCGGTACCAACAGCCAAGTACGATCTTACTTTTCGTTCTTTATTACGCCTCGCTGACTTCCCTTTGTAGGGAAACCACTACTGCTCCCGCGACTATGGCTCCAGCGCCTCGAACCCCAACTCTTACCACTACTCCAACACCGATGGCTCGTACTACTACAGCAACCCCAACGTACGTCAAACTTATCCAACACAGATGGACTCTTGCTAAATCACTTCCAGGGCTCGACCTACTACAACGATGGTCAGGGCGGCGCAAGGTACAACTCCGGCAAATAGACTGCGCGTAGCTTGTCCGTTGTTGCTCCAAACTTGGCCGAGGTCCAATCGTGAGGGGTTCGTGCTGTTCCCTGAAGTTGCGAAGGGAATATGACTGGCGTATCGTTATACCGTAGACGAGATGAAATGAACTTGTTTGCCTCGCACTATCCGTTGTATGCTTTCCCTTGTGATACCTTCTCAAACCTAGGCATGTAAGCAGCTTTCGTTCTTGCCCTACACTGCCGTAGAGACTCATCCCGCTGTACAAATGACATTGCCTAGCATCCTTAGCGAATACCTAGGTACCTCTTAGGTTAACTTAACACTTTACTACGCAGTTGCTAGCACGATTGTAGTCCTGTTGATCCGTGATACTCATGCGGCGATGTGGTGGTCTCCTTTATGAATGTACGTGGTGCTGTGAGTCAGCAGAGTTCAGTTGTGTAGACATATTTATAGGTAGCATGAGTGCGGAGTGAGGGGTCCCGTTAGGGCCCGCGTCATCCCGAGGTCGCCCGCTGCTGGCATGAACCACGCGCACGACACTCATTACACATCTGACGTCCACAGGCAGCGCATTGCATACTTTGGGACAGGTTTCTTGCCTTCTTAAATGCGCGACCACTGGAAAAGCTGCTTACTTGCACAGTCGTATCGTGCTGTGTGATTGCTATCTGCTTCGACACAGGCATCTTCACAACCTTCATTTCCGCAAATGAATGTGAGGAACGAAGACACTGGTCTTTTCCCAAGGTCGCGTAGAGGAGAAGTAGCCCCAAGGCATTCGTATTATTCAAACACGTCAACCTAGGAAAGAATCAAACAGGTATAGAGCCTACATCGACATTAGGGCACCTACTTTGCAGGTATCTATGTTAATGTAAGCTGCAGACCTGTTTAATTTGTTCCTTGTATAAGATACAAAGATGAATATCGGCTATAAAAAGGGTCTATCATTGACGAACTCCATCCTTGTTGCTCGTTATGTGCGCCTGGCTGCCAAAGGACTCTCGTTCATCCAGCTCGATATCGCTATCTGTCCTTATCCACCCTTTGCTCTCAATCCGAGTGCTAACGCGTATCCTGCTTTGCAATCTACTTTTGCTGGACTGGCCGTTCGATCCCGAGGCGAAGTTACTTCGGCTGTTGGAATACTGTGTCGAGGGGAGGCGAAGAATGCCACCGACGAGGGGCTTGAGCGATGGCGCACATGCGGCTATGATACCGACGTTCACCTGGAGGAAGCCCCAGAATTGGATGTCGTTCGTGCTGGCATACTGTTAGCAAACGTCCATACTGGTTCAAGTATAGACATAGAGACCTACAATGACTGATCGGGGTCGCCTCTCTTTGTATTCTGGACAACGGCCTTGACGATGCCCATGGCCACCGCTCTTGACTTGGGTTAGCTTTTGTGCCTCAACTCAAGCCTCCCTTCCCGACGCCGGGAAACTTACGTGTAGCCCAAGCTCAGAACAAAGATGAGGTACATGCGAGTCTTCTGCTTCATCTGCAACCCCATAATGATGGGAATAGGGATGGTTGCAAAGCAGATATCCGTAAACATGTTGCAGCCTGCGTACGATCTAGTCAGCCACCAAGTACAGTAAGAGTGGCGGAGGACATGTATACTTGTATTCATCAGCGCAAAGCCCTTGTGGATTTTCACAGGCACGCAGGTTGGCTTGAGGTCCTTATTCCAGAAACCGGCGATGGGTTTGCACACGGCAGCCCATTCACTCCAAGATACCAGTGTGTAGAGACAGACGAATGCTGAGAATGCTTAGTAGACGTAATGATATCGCTTTTCAAAGCACCATGGACTTACCAATAAGCGACCAGAGTATCCTGTTGTATAACGTGGGAACGCCCAAGCGAAGGAGTGAGAACCCGACGGACAACTTGAGGAAGGCCATACCTCCAATGCTGGAGACAAGAGCTTGTATGAAGGTCAACTTCAGGTACTCTTGGTGATCTGACTTCTCGAGAGTGTCGGTGTGACGACCTAAGCCATGCTGGCCAGCTAGTATGTAGGTCACCATTCCACCAAGAAAAACACAAGTCTAATCCACGCAGTTAGAGAAGCACTCAAACTTGATTCACGTTAGTTTCTCACCGCTGCCGCTAGTATGAGGGCATCATCTTTGCCAAACGCCTTCACGACGACGAAGCGGGCGTACATGCGCATCCCAACAAAGGTCAGTGCGATGACATGGAAAGTCGCGGTAACGCCGAGGAGGTATCCCAGATTACTCTCTGCTGCACGCACCGGGTCGGTATTCTTTGGTGCCATAGTGACGGCAAAGATGAGGGTCTAGCAAAATGGAGTCGTAGGGAGGAGACATAAGTGTCATGCATCCTGTCGAAACCAAGGATATGTTGTGTTACGTCCCCTCTTCCTACATTTCATGCCCAGCGGGATACGGAGCTCTCTGCAACGACTTCAAAGCACGGTAGCAGTGTTCTAGAAGGTGACATGGCCTCGTTTGTTGGTTCGTCAGCCTGCTTACCGTGAGATGTGGCATCCTTGTGTGCCAATTTCTTGGAGAATCCTTCCTGCGCTTTGCTTTTTCTTGAAACGAATGTATATTGCCCATATTGCATGGCAAAGAGACGGCATCGCCTGCATGCAGCCCGCATCTGCATCTACTTTCAGCGTGCACCGGTCCCAGATGCGTTCGCGCACTAAGTAATCGGGCCGAAGGGTAGGATTCCATCGCAGACGAGCCAGCCCAGCGCAACGGTTCGACGGGTCGACGGGTGGCTAATGGTCCGCTGCGCGCATGAATGGTCTCAACTTGCAGCGAAAACCGAGCTTGCTTCCGTGGTAAACAAGCCGACATGTTGGTTCTCGGGGGTGGCAATACGAGAAGGATCAGTTTAGGCTGAATAGGCAAAGGCAGAGCTGGAAGCCTTTGCGATTTGTTACTTGATCGCCAATGGGCTTGTTTGGTGACATTGCGTGGGATATGAAAATGTCTCTGGGTCTAAAGGCTTCTGGTATAAAGCGGCGCAGTCATGGGAGTGAGCCGGTTGTTCGTGGGGCGGCAGGTACTAGGGATCGTTTACCACTGTCAAGGGCTCTTTCCCGTCTCCGTCCCGTCTCGCATTCACCGCAGGAAGGCGCCACTCCTACGCGACCCTTTGACGATCTCATGCCACAGTCAGATATAGTCGCATGGTGTGGGACGGCGTCCCATTGGTCGATAACCAACCTTCCGCCTTTGTATGCATATGTCATTTCGATCCAACAAAATCCTACAGATCCCAGATCTTAGCAGTGCCAAGTTTGCTTCAGGAGCCTTTAGATCACCCAGCTAAACGGTCGACAGATGATCCTTCTGCATCGCATTGCGCGAAGTTTTCACTACCAAAAACAGTCCCCATCGTGACAGCCGTTTACTCGCCACTCCAAGCGAACAATGGGCGACCACACACAGTGCCGTGCTCGGGAAGCATGCACTCCCATCGCCCTGACATGGTATAATCTTGGCAGCATATAATTCCGCATGGTAATATCCCACGACGAGCGCTACCGGCCGTTCAGTCGCTACTCCGAGGTCAAAGACGTACCTAAGGAGGCCGTAGGCTAGCCTGCACCGCGTTTCCAGTACAAGCTATGGCCCCATAGCAGAACACTCTTGGGCTAAAGTACGGGGAGGATGCAGGCTTTCATTAGGCGCGCCTATACTCTAAGCCGCGTTGATCGATTTATTCATCTGGACTCGCTGCAGAGCCGCTTCTTCTAATATAGGTCCTTGGAAATCGGAAGTACGCTTGCGGCGAAGGCCTTGCATGAACAAGGGTTGCATTCGCATTGGATATAACCGTCGATTTGGATTCAGATCTTACTTCCTTAAATCGCCAGACCTTGCACATAGCGATCCCATCACCATCACCATGCGTCTGTTACAAGCTGTAACCGCCGTGCAGCTGTTGGCTGTAAGCCTTGTGGCTGCGGTCCCCTTTGACTCGCCTTCAACTCCAGTCATCGATATAGACCCTGCAGTAGACCCTCTCGAGGCTCTCGCCCAACTGCAGCAGAGCGCATACGAAACGCTTGAGCAAAATGAGAGTGTTTCAAAGAGGGCCCCCAAGGGTTGTTCTTTGGCGAAGACAACCGTCCGGAGGGACTGGTAAGCTTACTACGCGCATGAATTGGTGCTGGCTAACCTCGACAAGGGATCACCTGAGCAAGTCAGAGCGGAAAGCGTACATCAAAGCTGTCCAATGTCTGCGAACTTTGCCAGCCAAGTCCGACAAATCGTGGGCTTCAGCAGCGAAGACGCGCTTTGACGACTATGTCGCCATCCATGTGAACCAGACCCTTGGTATTCATGGCAATGGGCTCTTCCTCACCTGGCACCGCTACTTTGTCTGGTCGTACGAGCAAGCCCTCCGAAACGAATGTGGCTACAAGGGCTATCAACCAGTCAGTATTAGCCACTTCGAGTGACTCTTACATATCTAACTTCTCTAGTACTGGAACTGGTTTGCACATACCGACAATATCTATAAGTCACCTGTCTTCGACGGAAGTGACACCAGTTTGGGTGGCGATGGCGAGTTCTTCGCGCACAACGGCAGTCTTGCCGGTGCCCGAACAATCTCCATCCCCTCTGGAAAAGGAGGCGGATGTGTCAAGAGCGGCCCTTTCAAGAAGTGAGACCGTCGCATAACTCAATCCTTACGGAAAGCTAACAAAGCACAGCACGGTGGCGAACATTGGTCCGATTTCTCCTGGTATGCAAGGCTTCCCCGATTTGGGCATCGACCCCAACGACTACAATCCTCATTGCCTGCGCCGAGACATCAGTCCTTACATTCCCAAGAAGTGGTTCACTACGGCGAACTTACTGAATGTAACCATTGGTCGAGCTTCTCAGACGCATCGCGACTTCTGGGTCGAAATCCAAGGTCGCTACCCAGACGGCTTCCTCGGTCTACACACATCAGGCCACTACACCATGGGCGGCGACGGAACTGATCTCTACTCCTCTGTGAACGACCCCGTCTTTTGGCTCCACCACGCTATGCTTGACCGCATCTACTGGATTTGGCAGACGCTTCACCCACGTGAGGCGAACGAGGTGACGGGTACTTTGACCTTGTCGAACAAGCCTCCAACCCGCAACGCCACCATCGACGAGCCCTTGGTCTTGGGAGTCAACGGAAAGACTGTGAAGATTCGCGATGTGCTCAACACCCTTGGTGGTAGCCCTCTGTGCTATATCTACTTGTAAATAGGATCTGCTGTAATGTTAGGCTGGTGGTTATCTGGCATTCGTAGTTGTTAATACTTGAGCTCGGCTGTATATACCCGTCGAACGTCCACCCGGTCGGTGGATCAAAACTAGGCGGGTATACCCACCAATCCTCAAAAGCAACCACGCAACCTTTCTCGTATACTACCTCTTGTCCCTGCATCGAACCTTACTCACCTACCGCATAGAGTAGGCATCGAAAGCAGGCGCCAAACGGTTATATTAAAACCTTCTCACGCCTCATCCACCATCTTCGGCAATACGTCGGAAATAACACTTTCCCATCACCATCCACTAAACTCGCGCATTGATCGCAGCACTCGATACGGCAATAACGGTGAAACAGCTTCATCCTCGCCGATATTCCTCTAAACAGTAACCATCGATTGCAGGCTCCAAAGCTTGGCCTCTTCAAAGTTACCCATTAAAGAAAACCGTAGATTGTAGATGCGGAGGCTTGGTAATGCCAACGGAGAAAAATTGGTTTGCTTGTTCTGCTTGCCCGTGGCTCACCGACTCGTACCCGCGGAAGGGAAGGTTACGCGGGAATAAGCAAACTTTTCTCCTCTCTCGATGACGCGCCAACGACACGTTGATGTCGTCTTTTTTGCCAACGAAGAGAAATTACTGGAACAGGTAGGCGTGGAAAGTAGGCGTTTGGCTTGTCAGACTTGGTGTAGCTTGGTCGTTCCTTAGGAAGTGGATGCGTTTACGGTGTTGGGTAGGTGTTGAAAGCAGGCGTATGAGAGCCTCACATTTTTCCGTTGGTGAGGCTGTAGAACGAGAAGTCACGTGTAATCGCTCATGTTCTGTTGATCGCGGTGTGTCTTCTCGTGCGTATGCACTTATCAAATTGTTGGCATTCTGAGTAGTCGCATCCAGGCACGATGGTAAAACGCGCAGCGTTGAGGGACACATAACTTCTACTTCTATACCAATCCATCCGCGCCTCTTCCTTCTCGCAACGAGCTTCAGCGTCGCAAACCTCGCATCGCGTCTCTGTACTACCAATGTATCGCCATCGGCACCCTGCTTCAAATCCCTACAAACTAAACACGCCTCCGCAAGCGTACCAACATCTCAAACACTAAAAAGCAACACCAAACATCGGTGTGTCACT